TATAATGTCCTTCCTTGTCTCTTATGGTTGTTTTTGTCTTAAAGTCTGTTTTATCAGAAATTAGTATTGCTACTCTTGCCCTTTTTTGTTTGCCATTTGCTTGGTATATCTTTTTCCAACCTTTGATTTTCAGTCTATTTTTGTCCTTGTATCTAAGGTGAGTCTCTTGTAGACAGCATATTGATGGGTCATGTTTTCTTATCCAGTCTGCAATTCTCTGTCTCCTGAATGGTACATTTAATCCATTTACATTCAGTGTAATTATCAACCAGTATGAATTTATTACTGTCAGTTTATTATGTGTTTTTTGTGGTGTTGCTGATTTGTTTGTTCCATATAATTTTCTGTGCTGAACTCATTTAGATTATGATTTTTTTTATCATTTCCTTCATTGCTGTTGTTTTAGTATTTGATAAATGTTTTTGCCTTTCCTCTTTTTTAATTTAATGAGGTTTATTAATTTTCTTTGAGGTTAACTTGTGATTTATTATTTCCTTCTCAACTTTAAAACAGTTTGTTCTATCTCACAATTGCCTTGACTTCCTCCCCATTTAGAAGTTCTGTAACCATACTATTTATTCCCTCTTTTTGTTTTGTAGTTGTCCTCATTTACCAATTGATGTCTCTGGTCCCCTGTATCTGTTTACTTCTTGTGAAGTCCAAATTGATCCAAATTTCTGTGGCCTAACAGGTCCTCCGTAGTACATTCTTTCAGCCACATGTTACTCCACTATGCCCGGCTTGTTCTGGCCTCAGGACTTTTCCATTTGTTTAATCTGCTTCAAATGATCTCCCACTAGATCTTTGCAAGTTTTGCTCATTTTTCATTCATCATATCTTTGTTCAAATGCCACCTCCTTAGAGACCTTTCTTGACCACTATATTTAAAACATCCCCTACCTCCTGCCTTCTCATTTTCTAGCACACCCTTATATTGTGTAGCATTTATAAACAATTTGAAATTTTCTGTTTACTTGCTTAATGTCTCTAAAATGTGATCTACATAATCTGTCTTCAACTCAACACAACTCAACTCACTGCCATCAAGTCAGATCTGACTCATAGCAACCCCTCCTTGGATTTCCAAGGTGGTATCTCTATGGAGCTAGATCGCCCAACCTTCCTTCTGAGGAGTGGCTAGTGGGTTTGAACTGCCAGCCTTCTGGTTAGCAGTCAAGTGCATTGGGCACTACGCCACCAGAGCTCCTCTTAGTTATCTAGCACTGTTCTAACAGAAATATCATAAATGGGTGGTTTTAACAAACGGAAATGTATTTTCTCACAGTGTAGAGGCTAGAAGTCCAAAATCAGGGAGGCAGCTGTAGAGGAAGGCTTGCTTTCTGTCAGCTCTAGAGGAAGGTTTTTGTCTCTTCTGAGCTTCTCTGCTCCTGGGTAATCTTCATGTTGCTTGGCATGTGTCTTCCCCCATGTCTGCTCCTTTTTGCTTGCTTATTTAATCTCTTTTATATCTCAAAAGAGATTGAGTCACGACACACCCTATATTAATCCTGTCCCATTAACACAACAAAGAAAACTCATTCCCAAATGGGATTCTAACCAGAGGTATAGAGGTTGGGATTTAAAAGACATAATTGTTCCCAAAAAGGGGGGCCCATTCAATCCATAGCAACCACTATCTCCCCAGTATTTAGGGCAGTTTCAACAATATAATCAGAACTCAAGTATTTGTTGAATGAATGAGTACATTGGATGAATTCCCAGAAATATTTCTTCAGAAGAACTATGAGGCTGAGCTGATGCTGGCAATAAGCATATGCTGCTTTTTATCAGTAACCAGAGGGATATGTTTCTCTACCGTGACTTGGATTCTCATTGTTGTAATAACAGATTTTCAGGAGTGCCACCCTCCAAATAAACTTTGGGTATATCTCATTCTTGCAGGTCTCCTGGGTCCTACCATCCGAGCTGAGGTTTATGACACTCTAATCATTACACTTAAGAACATGGCTACTCATCCTATCAGTCTTCATGCTGTTGGCGTATCCTACTGGAAAGCTTCTGAGGGTGAGTCTAATGTCCTCTTATTGTCTGTCATCCTGAGTAGGTAATTGTGAGATATGTGTGCTCGGCACACCTGGAATTGTATACACTCTCTTATATACAAGCATACTAAAAGATAATAATAATAGTCATAATAGTGAGTAACATGTATTGAATAGAAGCCTATATAGTTAGGGAGTGGTTGAATCAGGATTTACATCTAGGCCCATCTAACTCTAGAACTTGTGCTCTAAGCTACTGTGGTACAGTACAAGGATTTATATAAATAATTTTGAATTTTTCTCATGTAACTGGAAAGTCCACGGAGAGAAAATTGTTTCTGGAATGACTGGATCCAATGAGTCCAATGATTTCCTCAGAATCATAGTCTTTTTTTCACCATATCATCTCTTCTTTCCTTCCTTTTGGTTTTGTTGTCAGGTAGGCTTTTCCAGTACACTGGCAAAGACAGCCACTGATAGCTCAAGACATTCCCTGTTCCTCCTTTTTCTCCAGACAGTGATCCAAAGGAAGGAATAGCTCTTTCTCAATATTTCTCAGTGTTAGGTGGCAAGGAAGAGTTGGAAATGGGAAGGTGAGATCAGCCCCACCCAATCCATCTGGAATTCCCCACAAGGAAGAGAGGTTCTGTTATCAAAAGGAAAAGGAAAAGGCAAGCACACCAGGTCTCAGGAAGGGCAAAGCACTGGGCATCCTGAATTGAGACAACCATAGCTCCTCACCTCCGTAAAAAGATCTTAGATTTCCAAAGATCTCTGCTTTGGATGGATCACAGACCTCTTCAATAGAACTGAATGTGGTCTAGAAATAGATATGGGCAGCCTACAGTGTTGCAAAATTGGTTCCTATACCTCGTATAGGAGCTCTGGTAGCATAGTGCCTAAGGCACTTGCCTGCTAACCAGAAGGCTGGCGGTTCAAACCCACCAGCCACTCCTCGGAAGGAAGGTTGGGCAATCCTACTTCTTTAGTGATACTGCCTCGGAAACCCAAGGAGGGGTCGCTATGAGTCGGGGCCGACTCGATGGCAAATAACAACAACAACAACAACACCTCGTATAAGAGCTCTGGTGGTGTTGTGGTTAAGGCATTTGGCTGCTAATCAAAAAGGTCAGTGGTTCAAACCCACCAGCCACTCCTCGGAAGGAAGGTTGGGCAATCCTACTTCTTTAGTGATACTGCCTCGGAAACCCAAGGAGGGGTCGCTATGAGTCGGGGCCGACTCGATGGCAAATAACAACAACAACAACAACACCTCGTATAAGAGCTCTGGTGGTGTAGTGGATAGATGTTGGCTGCTAACCAGAAGATTGGCAGTTGAAACCTAGCTGCTCCGCTGGAAGAAGAGGAAGCCTTGGAAACCTAATGGGGGTCTCTATGAGTCGGAATCGACTTGATGCTAGTGGGTGGTGGTGGTAATAGCTAGTACAGAGCTTCATAGGAAACCGAAGGATCATGGACTGGACTCCCGCTTCTTCAGGAAGCACTGTGGCAGAGCAGAGGGGAGAGGGGCAAGAAGCAAGGGAGGAAAAGTAGCCTATCTATGCCTTCTGAGTTTGTGAATCCCAAACCCAGGGAATGCCGCGTCTGGCAAAACTGCACAGGTCCTGAAACGAGGCAACATGCTTTTCTGAAAGGAACGGGGGCCAGGCGGACGCCCTGCATATTCTGCAAGAGCGATCCCTGATGCCTTTGTTCTCCTTTATTTATATGTTTATACATGATTACATCATTAGTCTTGGAATCCAAATAATCAGCTTATTCTCTACAAAGTTAAAGTTTTACTCCTGTACGTGCTCAAGGACAATAGGTGGTCACTGAAACAATCACAAAAGCCTCCTCAGGAATAAGGAGTGTAAAACAATAAATGGTTACTAGAGCACAGTGACCCAAAATATGAAACGTCCCAACAAGATCTAAAACATGGACTACTGGAATAACATCTACTTCTAATACTTGATGTTTTGCCAAGTAGGCATTTAACCGTGAGAGAGGCCTTGCCTTCTCTTGTCGCCGTTGGACATATGCCTTGCACTCATGGCCTTTGATGATTTCTCTCTTGGCTCTCCAACAAGGGAAGGCAATGAAGGGAGGAAGATACAGAGGAAAGAAAGCACAGCCAGACTGGCCACTGATTATGGTCATCGTCTGTCTGAGCCTCTGCCTGGTATACCATTAGACAAGATGATGCACTAAGCCCAGCCTCTGGCCCAGATGATACCTTCAGCACATGGTGAAGCCATTTGTTCTCATTATTATAAATTGCAAACTTCCTTAAAATATTTTGACGGCCTGTCTGAACACTATGTCTGTCTTCTGTTTCTCAGGGTTATTAGACTATAAACATCTCAAAAAGTCTTGTTTGTTGTTGTAGTCTCCTGTTTACCGCTATGTGTTACCTAGCCTATAATGGATGTTGGATATGAAAAATAATGTGTAGCAGACACAAGTCACTTTTTCTGCCTAGAATGACACATGTTTCCCACCCTTCACTCCCCTGAGAATCACTTTTTTTTTTTTTTAATGTACTTCAAATGGAACCTGACATTTTCTTAAAGCCCAAGCCTTTCTGACCACAGTGATTGGTCTAGTATCCAGGCTAGGCCAGTCAGAGAACTTGCCTCCTCTGGGATTAAAAAACATATGAGAAAGGACGTAGTGCTCTCAGGTAATGCTGTAATTTGGGCAGAAGGCCAGATGGGTGGCAAAATCAACATAAACTACTTGTGGTCCACAGATCCTGTACAAGTCTTGAGGGTGTGCAGGCTGTATACAGGTGGTCCCAGCGTACAATGGAGTTCTGTTCTGATGACTCCTAAGTTGGTTCTAAAGTAAGTTGAATCTCTCTCTGTTTAAGTCTTCATTATTGCCTGCTGTACGGCAGTGTTTTCAACAATAAGTCCTAACAGTGAACATCTGTGTGTGAACATCTAAAAATAACATTAGCAAATTACACACTGCAACATCGTACGTAGTATATATTACTAAAAGGATCTCTGGTGGTGCAGTGGTTAAGGCGTTTGGCTGCTAACCAAAAGGTTGGTGGTTCAAACCTACCAGCCACTCTGCAGAACTGCTTATGTTTTCCTAATTGCATAGCTTCTTTATGGGCATAGAGCAAAGGTGGGGCACCCTACCTTTCTCTGCCCCTTTCACACCATCCATCTTACCCTGAACATCTAGGTATGCAATCAGAGAATGGGAAGCCGAGGCAAAATTGGGCTTGGTTGTATCTCACAGAGTCACAAATAATTGGAGTACAACATTGAGGAAATCTTCTAAAGATTGGGAGAGAAAAGGGTGGGTAACACACTCTTACCTTTCTCTTTTCCACTCAGTGGGGAAAGATAAAAGTTTTAAAATGATGGACATGGGGATATAAACATTCTAACTCCAGCTCAAGCTCAAACCCATTGAAACAGCTTCACTGGAATCCTTCCTTCCAATGACCACATTCCAAGAAAAGCATCTTATCCGATGAAGCACAACCAGCCACACAGTCTCATCCTATCTCATCCTATCTTCCCACCTCTCATTTTCTTGTTCTGCCCCTTCCACCAACTCTTCACCCTTCCTGGGATCTGCCAACCGTTGACCTTTGCATGTGCCAACAAGTGCCTGGCCACCTCTGTGTCCATTCTGTTCATTTAGCTAAACCACTACCCTGGTGAAATCTAATTCTCTAGCTATTTTTCCAGCTCCCAAGTGGCTGGCCAGAGCTGACATCAAAGGCACACAACCACACTGACTGTTCTCACTAAGTTCATGACTCCTTACCTCAAGCGGGCCCTCAGCACAGCAAAACTAACGTGCTGTTATGTTTCCCCAATCTGTTCTCTCCCCCTCTCTCCAAAGCAGTGAGTGTTTCACACAGTCTTGGCTGCTCATCAAACCTCGTATTTCCATGAACGACATGATGCAATGTCAGATGCAGACCCATCAAAAGCATCTTCTTCCCGGGGCACAGAGGCACACTGGGGTGGTAGCATGGCGTGGGCAGAGTACTTGGCCTTAAACTTGGACCGTCAGGACTTGGAGCTGGTGATGTAGGTGCGGCTTCCCCAGTGCGCAGTCACACGCAGTCTCCCGAACCTGCTGTTGCTTCTGGATGAGGCTTGTTGGCTCTATTGCCTACTGGAGGGGTGTCCCTATATCTCAAAGAGCTTGACTTTCTAGTGGGGACCACCCACCTGCACCGTGCTCGTGGCTTTTGGCTGCGGAAAGTTCCGAGTTAAAGTGTGGGCGGGGCTGCCCACCACCTGCGCGTGGGTCTCCTGTGCTGCTCTGTCGGAGACCAGGCCCCTCCCTCAGGTGCAAAGATGTTGTGGGCTAGGATGGGGTGTGGCTCAACAGCTCTCTGAATATCTGGGGCTGGACTTCAGGAATCGTTATCAATCTGGGCAGCTGCGAAGAGTCGCTGGGAAAGTGTTACAGCAGAAGCTGAGGTATTAGTCAGGGTGCCTTTAAACAGTTTCTGCTTCTGTCGCTGCAGTGCACTGTACGTACTGACGTTGCATTAGCAATGAGCACGCATAGGACCCTGATTTTTTATCTTCAGTACTGGGCCCCACTGAGAAGCATCAGGGCTCCTTGGAACCTGTTGTCATTGCGTGGATTCCAGCTCACAGTGGCCCCATGTGCGCTACAGCAAAGCTGTGCCACACGGGGCTGTTGGGGGCTGCTTTTTCACAAGTAGGTCACCAGGCACTTTCTTTCAAGGCACCTCTGGGTGGACTGGGACCTTTCAGTTAGCTGCCAAACATGGGAACTGTTGGCACCACCCAGGGACTCCAGGGTTATGCCAGATTTCCATTTTGTTGATCTTTATATCTCTAAAGGAGCTCTGGTGGTTCAGTGGTTAAAGCATGCAGCTGTCAACCAAAAGGTCAGCAGCTCAAACCCACCACCTGCTGCGCAGGAGGAAGATGAGGCAGTCCATAAAGATTGACAGCCTTGGACACCCTGTGGTGCAGTTCCACTCTGTCCTCTAGGGGCGCTGTGGGTCAGAATGGACTCCAGGCAGTGGGTGTGGTTTGGGCTTTGCTTCTGTGAAGATTGACAGCCTTGGAGACCCTGTGGGCAGTTCCACTCTGTCCTCTAGGGGCGCTGTGGGTCAGAATCGACTCCATGGCAGTGGGTGTGGTTTGGGCTTTGCTTCTGTGGAGACTGACAGCCTTGGACACCCTGTGGGGCAGTTCCACTCTGTCCTCTAGGGGCGCTGTGAGTCGGAATCAACTCCATGACATGGGTAAAGATAAGAGTTACATCCCTAACTTGTACTTGAGCTTAGTAAAGAGTAAGGACTCAGTAACTAATTTGTTGGATACATGAGTGAATATTTCTGTACTGTATTATAATTATCCCTTTATATGTCTGTGGCCCCCACCAGACTGATAACCCTCCAGGGAAGAATCCAGTTGACTTAAAAAAAAAAAAAAACTCTCTGTATCTTATCCCTCTCTGACCCTCACCAGTGCCTATCAAAGAGTCTAGGAGAAAGTACACATTGAGTTGAATTGACTGGAATTTGCTAAGATGGTGCAGAAATGGGAACAGCATGATCGGCTAGCCAAATCTGGAGATCTCAGCCAGAAGCTAGTTCTCACCACTTATGTCTAATCTGGTGTCGAAAGGAAGCTTTGTAAGTTTCCTCAAATGGCCAATTTTGCCCTTCTTGCTTTAGGAGCTGAGTATGATGACATGAGCAGCCAAAGGGAGAAGGAAGACGATGAAGTGATTCCTGGCGACAGCCACACCTACGTCTGGCAGGTCCTGAAGGAGAACGGCCCACTAGCCTCCGATCCGCCATGTCTCACCTACTCCTACCTTTCTCACGTGGACTTGGTAAAAGACCTGAACTCCGGGCTCATAGGGGCCCTGCTGGTGTGCAGAGAGGGTAAGTGTAAGGAAGGGTAAGAATAATATGAAATAAGCAGCAAAATAGAAACAGCTGGGTCTATTCTTAAAAGATAGCCCTTGTGGTTGCTCCTCTGCCCGAGGGTGCTTCTCTGTAGCATCATGCCCATGGAGAGGAGAGGAGCAGATGCCTGTCCTTTAGAGCCACAAAGCTGGGCTCAGGAATAGGCACCAGCCTCATAATCCTCGCTGTGTTTGAGTGCATCGTGCCGGCCACGTGACCGAAGTTGTTGTTGTTGTTAGGTGCCGTCAAGTCATCTCCGACTCATAGCGACCCTATGTATAGTAGAACGAAACACTGCCCTGAACAAAGTGTACGAGACCAAGTCTAAGGAGCATTCTGGCTGTCCTTCTTCCAGGACTGCTTTGTTTGTTCTTCTGGAAGTATTTTCAGTATTTTTCTCCAACACCACATCTCAAAGGCATCAATTCTTGTTCCACTTCGTTTCAAAGCATTGCTACTTCCTTCTTCAAATCTCCTGGGGCGTGCAATGGAGAAAGGACAGTCTGTGTAACAAATGGATTGGCTCTCAACCCAACAGTAGAAAGACCTCCATGCAGAACCCTTACCCCAGGGAGATGCACTCACCTACCCCAGGGAGATGCACCCGTTAGATCAGTCAGGCACGAGACACCAGATGAGCAGCATTCACGTAGAGGGAAAGGTGGGCAGCCAGCAACATATGCACAAAATCAACCTTGACCTAAACCTTACCTGTTACACAAAGGTTAACTCAAAATGGAAGGGAGATCTCAAGGTAAGTGTAAACCCACGAAACTGAAAGCTTCTATAAAGCAGAAGAGAGGAAATCTTCAAGATTTGTGGTTAGGAGAAGGATTTGGAGAAGACCAAAACCATAATCCATAAGTGAAAAAGAAAGAAGATACAAAGTGGGCGTCATGAAAATCAGTTAACTTTTGCTTTGTAAATGACGCTTTTTTTTTCTTTTTTCAAAATTTTTTCATCTCAGGTGTTTATGTGTTTATCTGTATAGCCTAGTGTTTGGTGTTAATGGCAATGCGGTATTGTGGACACATTGGTTGGTATTAGCATCTGTCGTCTATCTGTTATGTGCACAATTTGGTGTCCTCCCATTTCTAATCTTATGATGTTAATGGAATGAAAAGACACACCTGGGAGGGAATATTTGCCAATC